TTCTCTATTCCCGCATATCCTGAGGTTCAGACCGTAAAACTCTCTTCCACATCTTAACCTTACCCTGATCCTTTCCACTCTTGATTATGGCTGCCATATTTATTTTACCTCTTTCTTCCTTCTTGCTCACCTTGATACACTCCACCACTGTGTTTTTTGCTTAGCACTATCCGCTTTTCGCTCTGTACACTTAGTCAGCCTTGCCATCTCTCTCTCTCGATGCTTTGCCCTTGCTCATTTCCACCAACTTCCCTCTCCAAACTAGCTATCCCTAAATCTCTTCTTCCTACCGTTTCCTTTCCTCTGACCACGACTATGAACACTACCAATACTAATATGCTTCCCCCAGAGGCCTGCGAAACTCATACAGCAATATTGCCAAGATTGCTTTCCATTGACATGACCTACCCCATGATGTTTCTACTCTAAGTGACTGCCCACATCCACTCTCCTCCTTCTCATCCCCCCTCCTGGATCCATCTACACCAACTCCGCTTCCTTCCCTATTATCCCTTCCTAAGCCCTCACCAACTTTCCCCTTTTCAATATCATGCAATCATAAAATGCTGTATGACTTGATGTGTAGCACATCTAATCAACTCTTTTCGCTACTACACTTTCTATAGTGCTACATGACCTTTGACATGTAGCACATTTATTTGTCATTCCGGTCCTTCAATATCTACCACTTCCACGGTGCCCGCCCCTCCTCACCATACCCATTGCTTTAGACAGTCTAAACGTTCCATACCCATCTTTTCCTACTGCATCCACTCCCACATCTACCTCTTCCTCTGCTCCGTAGATCTCTGTCCCCCTTCCTCTCCTACATGAAAAATCCCTTTCACAACCATTCTACCCCTATCAGTCATTGATTGTTTCATAAAGATTTTCTACACTAAAATATTTGTCTGTTGTTATAGACCTGTATCCACACTTTATTACACTTTCACTACCAGCATACAGGCATACTAATAATCCAATTATCCTTGTTGAGAGTCCTTAGTCTCAGTATCTCCCAGAATGATTCATGATGCACTGTATTGAATGCCTTCTTGAGGTCAATTTGAGCAGCAAGCAGCCCACATCCAAACTCCTGACTGTTCTCTACAATGATATGAAGTGCCAGGCTATATGGTCTATTGTGGATGTACCAGGAATAAATCCAGATTGCTCCGGCCTTAAGTGCTTCAGCAGGTGGTCTCTGATGTGTCTCGGAAAGATGTGAGTGAGAACCTTACCTGGCATACTGAGTAGTGTAATGCCTCAGTAATTGCTGCAGTCCCACTTATTCCCTTTCTCCTTCCAGAGAGGGATGACCACACCCCTCAGTAGGTCAGGGGGAATGGTACCAGTCTGCCAGATGGCAGTCGGGACAGCATGCAAACCCTTTGCCATAAGTTTACCACCAGCCTTTAACAGTTCAGCTGGGATGCAGCACATTTAATTGTCAACTAACCTTCTTTCTTTACCCTTTTCACTACTACACCTTTCTGTAGTACTTATGACCTTTAATGTCTAGCACATTTATTTTGCTTTGAAACCATTAACCATTAACCCCATAAAAAATGTGGGATGAAAGGTGCAGGAAAATTAAAAAGACCAAAATCTCAAATTTTGCCATTTTGGGGTAGATGGTCCAGTTAAAAATAATGTAATGAATATCCTGTTGTCCTTCTGGGATTATCAATAATGCTTTGCTGTGCAGTTATGTATTTGTGATGAGAATCAACAGACAGTAATGTATATTCATCTCATTTTTTGAGAGATTACCAAAGATAATAAAACAAATGTAATCTATTTACATTTATTTTTTGTAAGAAGTAAAAACTGAGCGTCCCTGATCATAGAATGAGTGAGACCAGAACATTTAAAAACCATCTTTGAGGAGCTTGACAAAATGCAGGTAAAAAAGAATATTTTTTTTTGAAGAATGTGAACAAGGTCCTCTATTAATATTTTAACATATGGATGCTTAAAATATTTAAACAGATCAAATTATTACTAAATTACAATTGCAAGGGTTTGTTCACAAGCTTCTTTATTTATTAATATCTTTCCCTGTAATATTGAAAGTCACCCAATGCTTAAGAATAAGAAGAAAGGAACAATTGTCACTCAACCAAGTTCTGACCAACCATTAAGGCCTTTGTCCTTGGTACTTGACAAGACTTCCAATGTTTGCATCTGAAGTCAAATGGGAAAAATGCAAATCATATGAATGGATGGTGCCGGTGGAATCTAGCATCCCAACACAGAAAGAAAGTTGTCATCGGAAAATGATTAAAGTTAGTATTGGAGACGATCAGTTGTTTCCTGTTGTGGGATGATACAAGAAGCTACTTACAAAAAAAGGATAAGGAGGAATGAACTTAGGACATTTATTATGTGCAAAATGAGAGCTAATTCCTAAGCTTTCAGAAAAGAAGTTGAAGTATATGAAGTAAGGTAAATGCCAAAATACAGTAAATTATTAACTGTAATAAATAAATACAGCAAAGTTATAGATAGCCTAGTTTCATAGGGTTACTATAGTAACATTGCATTTACAAATGTCAACAATTTCTTGTAGCTATTTGACACTAGGAAGATCTTTTACTGACTAGACTGCAACAAATATTTAATACTTTCACTTGACAGCAAAATGGTTAACTGAGTATAATAACAAAATGAACATGGAAGGCTGTTTCATTTATGAAAAAGATTAACAGGGATATATCATTGATCTCTGTGACACTACATGAGTTCTGGTAGATAATGCAAGATATCTTCAAAAGATATGACATCATGTTGGAAGAGTTTAAGGCTCTGGTGGTTATATGATGCTCTAATGAAGGGGTAAGAGTGTTATGGAGGTAATGAATTCTGATGAGAGGAAAAACAAAGTCATGGGATAACATATACTTTCATAAAAAGAATGACCTCAAGGATACATAGGTTTGGTGATTAAGCTCTGACATATATCTATAGTACAAGTTACTTTTAAGTAATAAAGCAAATGATAAGATTGAGGGGGTTCTCTTGGAAAGGAAAGTCATAGAAAAGGATGCTCTGGGTAGCAAGGATTCTGGAAGGAGGAACAGGTTCTGGTCAGAAGGATGTTTCCTGCATATGATAAAGACTTGCTCAAAAGGGAATAGAGTTCTGGCTAATGGAAAGGATTTTCTTTATGAGGGATGAAGATGAAATGTAAGAAAACAATGTTTCATCTGCTGGATATATTACACTTCTCGCACAACCAGCTGTCTGACTTATATACTCTAAAGTTTCATGATAAAAATATACACAACAGACTTGGTTAAACCAAGAACAGGTTTATAATTACAATATGAGGATTTCAGTCATATTCTTAACTTAGGGATAAAAACACTATAAAACTTATTACAGATCAATCAACCAAAAAAGGGTCTATATTACAAACATTCTAATACTAAAAGACTTTTCAAAATTACGTTTCATTCTATCACAATGCTACAAAACTTATGTAGCGGAGATAAATGTATACGAGTTATTGTTTCTCCCAAACCACAAAGTGTATCAATGCTTCTACTCATCTCTAAAATGACATATTTATTGCTCCAGTTCCAAAAACCATGTTCAGGCATTTACGGAGTTCATAAATGAAGAATGGCAGAAATTATGAGAACAGCACCTACTCATAACTTTGACAATAATAATAAACATAAAGGAAAAAAAAAAAGATATCCTAATTATAATTTTGAACCATAACATGATTCAAAATGCATCATCTGTACTGCCGTCATTACTGGCTCAGTAGCTAAGGTCTTGCTTGTGATAAACTCTAGGTTGATGCCACATATTTATAGTAACAAATTCAATCTCTTGGCTTCATATTCGGTTTAAAGATGCAAGTATGAGAAAGTTTGCTTAGGCAGGATAGTCAAAAATATGATTTCAAAAACGTGTTCATCTTTCTTGCCATCACTAGAGTCTGAGTCATAGAAAAAGGCACAATTTCAATGCATAAAAATAACACCATGGTTTTCACAATTTCTTTTTAGTAAATCTGAATGACATGCAACACAAAATACCTTATTTGGAAAAAATAATTAAGCTCCTAATCAAGCAGTCAGAGACAAGTTATGAAGTTCACAATTATTGATGAATGTATGATAAACAAGAAAATTCACACTTGCCTTTCACCAATCTACCGCATATTAACCCAGTGAATGAGAAAAGAGAGAAATGTGCTGGAAATTGTGAATAGCTGAACACCTTACAGATGTTTGGTAATTTGCCTGATATTTCTGGATAGGTAGTAAATTTTCTATCAATACGTAGAACATATTGTGTTTCTTTTTTTCTATTTTTTAAAAATTATCTATAATGTTACCTATATGAAAAAGGGCACTTTGAGCTTGCTCTGAAACTTCATGGCAACTGCATAAATTATTCCACACTCACCAAATGTTATATTTTATTTTCAAGTCATCATGACTAATTGTAATACCTTAGTAGTTTGCATAAATTTTAAGAGCTAAAGAAAGAAAAAAAGCTACTACTTCTTACCACAGTGGGCAGCAGTTATTTCTTGATTATCAATGAACTGGCTTTACATTTCTCTATAAATAAGCTCTCAGCATGACATCATAATACACAATGTAATTACAAGTAGTATGATAAACTCTAGTATTGTATTACTTTCTCATAATTTTAAATCAGAAATTATAATATAAAAAAATAAATATGGAAATTAAGAGGGAATTCCTTTTAATATATTGATACAAATACAGTGTGTGTGTGTGTGTGTGTGTGTGTGTGTGTGTGTGTGTGTGTGTGTGTGTGTGTGTGTGTGTGTGTGTGTGTGTGTGTGTGTGTGTGTGTGCGCGCGCGCGTGTGTGTGCGTGTGTGTGCGTGTGTGTGCGTGTGTGTGCGTGTGTGTGCGTGTGTGTGCGTGTGTGTGCGTGTGTGTGCGTGTGTGTGTGTGTGTGTGTGTGTGTGTGTGTGTGTGTGTGTGTGTGTGTGTGTGTGTGTGTGTGTGTGTGTGTGTGTGTGTGTGTGTGTGTTTTCTGTGGTCCATATATGGTCTGTGGTTTATGTGTGATCTGTAGTGCACGTGTGGTCTCCAGTTCATATGTGGTTTGCATGGTCTCTAGTTCATAAGTGGTCTGTGGTGCTTGTGTGGTCTCTAGTTCATATGTGGTCTGTTGTGCATATGCAGTTTCTATTTCATAAGTGTTTTGTGGTGCTTGTGTGGTCTCTAGTTCATATGTGGTCTGTGGCAGGGGTGGCAAGTGGGAGTTGGTGAACAAAGCAAACAAAAATTTAGAAAAATTACCTACTCTAGGGGCATTTTAATCTATAACTGGACCTACATATGTGTAATTTCATAAAATAAGTTAAAATTAGGGGGTGGGGGATAAGCCAGACCTTGAGGGGAGCAAACAAATAGGGGGGGGAGGGGCAATTGTCACCCTACACCCCCCCAGTTGATGCTCCTGGACCATGGACCATGGATGGTGCCATGGTGTGGTGTCTGGTGTATGTATGGTCTCTTTTATCTGGTTTCTGAATATTTGAAAAAATGTCAAAAGAATCAGTTAAAAAGTTTGTTTTAACATTGTTAAAAAAATAAAACGATATTTTTCCATACACACAGGTCCATGTTCACCAGTGCATTCCAAAATACTTTTTTTTATCATACATTGTTAACAGATTAAAAGACTTGCTCTGTACTTATATGCAAACATGTAGGAAAGCACAAACATGAACATACACACGTTGCATGATGACACATAAACACAAACATTTATTAATCAAACATCATGATACTGTTATAAATCTGCATGAAATTCAATCTAAAATCCAAATGCATGTAAATAAACAGGTCTGTAGAAAATAAACTATATCTTGTAATTAATTCTCTGTAAGGTTGCATTTTTTTCTATAAATGCTCTATGCTATTACCCATACACCAAAATTACAACAGAAGAATAATTAAAATATACAACAAAAATTAACTGAAATTTACTCTTTTGCTTAAAAGTAAATCATATGCATAAGTTGTTACGATTGGGGAAAAAAATATTGCCTAAATATCGGATTATGTTTAAATAGACTATATAGTAAACAATCAACAGTGCACATTATATTATCTTACATTGCTGTTAAAGCAATCTTCAATAATAATTCCATGGTAAATTATGAACCATAACTGAGTATGACTGCTGCCCATAGAAATTAATTCACTGGTAAATAAGAAACAGGCCAACAATTTCAAATTACACAAATCAAACCAAGGTTTTCCAGTGATTAATAGTATGCATAGAGGAGGTACAGTGCATGATTTTTCAAATATATCCCCAGTTAATAATCCAAATATCAGAAGGTAACTTTTACAAGCTATACATAATAATATTTAAAATGTTTTACACTTTCTCTCCTTTCTAATTCAACAGACCAACAAAGCAGCAGTAAAAATACTGACATCACTACATAGTCACCATGCTGTCAGGAAAGATTTGGCATTTTGCTGGAGAATTTGACTCCCAACACACTCAAAGTTCATACAAAAGAAGGACCTCATTAAGAACATCCTAAGAAGGTGTAAGGCTCAGGCAGGTTTAGATCTTCAAAAGGGACAAAATGTAGCAAGTTATTAGTCAAAAGCTACAGAAAGAGATGGTATTTCAGGAACAAATTAAAAGTTTGGATTAAAGGTAAGATGATGGTATATGGCCAATCAGGAAAGTTTTTGTCTAGTGCATGCTAAAACAGGAATGGAAAGAGTGCACAGGAGACTAAATGTTGTAAAGTCATATAATATTTAGGCTGGACTGAGGATATTCTATATTGATGATAAAAAAAAAGAAAAAAAAAAGTAGTAGTTGTAGTAGTTTGATAGCATCAGGATACTTTAGATTACTATGGTCATAATGAATTATTTGCCAATGTATGTTTTACGTTTAATTTAATAAACAAGCAAAACTGAAGATACTGAAGAAATTCTACTTCTTCTCAAGTGATACAACACTATCCTGTCACATAAATGGCCAAAGAATTTTACATTTTTATTACATTTTGCAGGGGGTGATGATCCAATGCACAAATAACAACCAAAAACAAAGACAGCAGTGTCTTGATGTACGCTTTGTTCTCTACCCATTCTGAACTTTCGGTAACTGTATCAGTTCTGTACCACAATAATCATATTCTAGCACCATACAATGACAAGATTAAGGCATATCAACCTTAAATCACTGTGACTATCTTAGTGATACAGTTACCAAAACTTTATAGTACCTGAAAAGTCAAAATGGACAGAAAATACAGCTTGCCTCTAGCACAAACAATTTATAAACTGAATCGAATATACATTCTGAAACAACATCTGAGTTAAAAGGTTTTGCAAGTTTGTGTGTGTCCACTTCTTTGTAATCAATTTAATAAATCTGTTTTTCTGTCACCTGAAATATACTGTATTTATAGTAAATGATAAACTATCCATAAACCGCTATTGTTTCTCTGTTTCTCAACTGTTGTTTTAGCTTATATATATTTATTCCTCACAAGACTAAAGGAGAAAGACAACTCAGAAAACTGAAGCCCTACTTACGATTGACCAACAACAACTTGTATGTAGAATTTATCACCTCAAGCTGACCACCTTACTCAAGAAAAATCTTAGGTCACTGAACACCATTATGGTCACCAGCTAGACATAATTCCTATCCCTACAATGTGATTGTCTGAACGAGATTTGAACTGTTCAGATGTTAATATATGGTATGATACATTACATCTGCCCGTCATCAAAATGGCCAAGATCTGAATGAAGATATTTAATTGTTTCATTAACCGTATGTGAAGCTTCAAGCTTTGGGGGTGAGTTGCATCACTCAGTTTCAATTGTCTGTACAGAGCCACCAGGAGAAAACAATACTGGCTTATTTATGTTTATACAGCCCTTGGACTTGTTAAGAAATAATAATCACAATAAAATTGATGAAATACTCTCAATAAAAAGGATACCTTGTGGTAATGTGGATATGTAACAATGAGCTATAAGAATGATTAAAATGTAGGCAATGAACATAAACTAAACAGTGATTTGAAATTCTGTATCCTCACACTGTAGAGAACTAGCAGTCACCTTTAAATGTTGGCTGCTAAGGATATTGCTGAAGATATAAGGCCAAAGGACCCTGGTGGCTTCTTGATAGTTTTCTCAAATAATTTATTTGCTCTATAACTGTATATTTTCTGTACATATTCAGTAAAGCTATCATTATTGGTTTATAGTATTTGTATGGCTAATCACAGCTCTGCCTTATATTACAACTATAAAACTTTATAAACTTTCCATCCTATATACAGCCTTCACCATTTTCCAGTTTTATTAATTTTTTTTATTCAACTTCACTGATATATATTTATCTGGCACACAATACAAGTTATAATGCAATACATAATATTAATGCAACTAACTGCTATTATGCATGACCCAATAGACAATGAAGGACTTTAACAAATTAATAACATGAATATGACCATGATGTGTTTATGAACCTTAGGATAAGCTGGGCAAAATCTGTACCCACTGCAAGCACTTGTTTTCTACAGTAACTGGAGTTTCTTGACTATTGCAACTTACCTAATCTCTGGGATGATATCACTCATATGTCATTACCACCAAATGTTCTAAAGCCAGTATACACTACTGAGTTTCATATAAAAAACATAGGTAACTTCAAATACATTCTAATATATATTTGGCAACACTTTTGATAATGTAACATCTGGCACACAGCAAAGTGCTCAAATACATCAACTGAGAACTTCATGAGCAGATTGTTTTTTTTTTTTCTTTTTTTGGCAATCACTAGCTTGGATGGCACACAATCCCTACTAGCACAATTCCCACTAGGACTTGGGGCCAGAGGGTCTACTTTGGTTCCGTCCACGTATGTAACATTTCTGTCCAGCTGGAAATCCACGTGACCCAGAATGAGATGTGGAACGCTTTGAAACTCCCAACTGTAACCCAATGGTTTCTGTGTACCTAGGCTGGCTACTCTCACAATGGGAAGGGTGGGAGTCTTTCAGTCTGAGACGAGAGGTGTGAGAAGAAGCCTGGACATACCCTGCAACTCTTAGTTCATCAAGGGAACTAAATGGATGCACATAATGTGGTAGTTCACCCATTGAAGAGGATTGTGGTGCTGGAAGTGGATCTGAAATTGCAGTTGGTGATAGTTGTGTGGATAGAGAGGAACTCTGAGAATTTGATGAATGAATATTAAGGTTTTTATTAGATGAAATAGGAGGTGCATCACTTAGAGGAGAAGATAAATGGGGAGAGGGGGAAGAATGTGGTGATATAGTTTTGGAAAGACCTCCAGCATCATCACCAGAGGATGCATCAGGTGATGGCAAGTCAGGTGGACAGCCCTCCAGTGTAAAAGAATCTGTACTTGATGCCAATGTAGCATCATCATCATCATCATCGTCAGCAAAAACTTTTGGTGGTGGTGGAAGTACTTGTGGGAAGGGACTGAGAACTTGGGTATTATCCAATGCTGTGGAAGGTCCAGATGTTGTTGTTGCCAATGGAGAGGGTCCTGATGACCGATGGGAATTAGCTGATGCTTCTTCACTAGAGCACACTGAGCATGAAGTAGAATCCATATCTAAATGTCCTCCAAGTTCTGGCACATCAAAGCTGGCCATCAGTGACTGAGTGAGAGAGTCATCTAAGCTCACCTTCCGCCCACCCCCATTACTTACCCTTCGGCGGTTGTACCAACGAGATTGCCTCATAGCCTGCTGTGTTGAAGGGCTCCCAGGTTCTTGAAGCTTTGGTGAATTAGGCCCCCGGCTAATACTCTCACTTCCACTTATCTCATCATCTCCTTCCCATGTTTCTGCTAAAGGTGCTGCACTAGTTGCCACCTTTTCATCCTCTTTTTCTAAGTGTTCTTGTGAAGGAGGGCTTGACCTAGGTCTTGCTCCCCCATGGTGCTGCTCCAGTGGAACCTGA